AAATTCTACCTATTCTTCAAGTCTCCAACCAAATGCTACCTCCTCCTGAAGTCTTCCCTGATCTCAGAGACTGAAGAATTCTTTTCTTCTCGTTAATTTCCACAGCATCTAAATTTTAGTAATCTACATACATGACTATGAGTTGAAGCTTCTAGGGAGGGCAGGCAGGGCCAGCCTCAATTTATCATCGTGTGCACCAGAGCACTTCATTCAGGGCTATGTGTACATTTTGGAGAATGCTCAAATGTTTGCTGAATTAAAAAAAAAAAAAAGAATATACATCACATCTTAAAACAAACCAACCAGAGTTGGTAGAGTTATGCAATCAACATATGCTGATCATATGTACATCTGTATATGTATCTGTATCATATGTACATATGTACATCTGAATGCAATTATAAGAAAAGGAGCTATGCTCAGAGAGTCACGCCTCAGACATGGGAACAGTGTTAATTAAGGAGTGGTCTGGACATAAATCTTCACGTTAGTTGAAATAACGCCAGCCTAACACCAGCCAAGATTAGTACTTAGGCTCAAAGAACTAACAGCACCAGAAGGCACCCCTATTAGCACTTCAGGATTAAAGGATGTCTGCAAATCATCAAGTTGTGTGTGGCCACAAGATTTACCTCAATAGTCTTGAACAAAAGGAAGGTGTGAAAATGCATTATTTTAACTAGCTCTAAGCAGATGTGATACACATATCTGAAGGTGTGAATGATTAGAGCAATTTTCCCAAAGAGTATTCCGAAAGATTTGGTCACAATATTAGCAAAGGGGCAAACTACATACCCTGCAACTTTGCTGACAGAAGAAAAACAAAACAAAAAACCACCAACTTGTTTAAAGAGCATTTAATACTTAGTGCTTTACTTCTGACTTCTGACAGTTTCATGTGTCCATGTTAAACTAAACCTATCAAAGGCTAATGATGTTGGATAAAACCTTGTTTTCCAATTAAGAGCCACAAATGTATCCTTATCTTTTGTTACTTTGGGAGGTACCGTTTTTCATTTCTGAAGGATAACAGGCAGAGCTGGCATCTGGGAGGTCTTGTCCCAGATTTCATCTCTACCAACTAATACAGAAACAATGGCTATGATCATGACACAAAACTGTAATCTCTACCCAATTATCTACTTACATTCTTAAAAAAGGTAAATGGTATGCTTTTACAGCCATTCCACTTCCCAGATACTTAAATTGTCCATTTTTATACCATCGCTGAGCCAGAAATTTGTCATTTTGCTTTTTTCCTATTAGCAAACTGCTAACATACAAGACAAGTTCAAGATGTATTTGTATCTATGAAATCTGGAGTTTTGATAGATAATATGTAAGAACATTCTAGGTGATATGTGAATTTTTAAAAACACTTATATATGCCTTTTAACATGTGTAAAAAATACATTATATAAACCTATAATTCTATTCCTTAGGTCAAGGCTGAGCGAAAAGAAAAAAGTTGATTAAAAGAAGTAGTTGAAGTTAAAAAAAAAAGTTCAGAGGCTACAGGATATGGTAAAAAAAAAACAGGAAAACAGTACTCATATTTAAAAGTTTAGGAAGCATCAAAGGATAATGAAAATTAAATTCATGTGGACTCCTGAGCTCTCACAAAAGTGGTTGGTATCAGCCTCCTGTTTCTTCAAAATGAGGCTCAGTCACATGAAGGAAACTTTCTGTCTGGTGCCTGACTTAATAATTTAGAGGACAAAAGGCACAACAGTGGCTCGACCCCCAACTCTTCTCTACCCGCAGAGGAAAAGTTTGCTATTGCCACTGCACACCCTAATGTCAGTTCTGCTCTAACCAAATGGACAGGGCCTCTGTCCTCAGAAATTTCACAGGACCACGCTCTATCTTTCCAGGTTCCATCTCTTCCTGTTTTAGGCATGGGCAAGCTAGGCATGGGCAAGCTTGCTCACTAAGGCTTCATCTACATGGATGCACTAATGATTCCAAAACCTGTCCCAGATCCATTCCTTATCTCTACTCTATCTACTGATCACCTCATCTGGATGCACCTGCAAATTCCACATGTTCAAAAGTAAACTCATGCTCACCTCCTTCTCCTCCTTTCTCTCCCCATATGCCCATCAATAGTTTTAAATCCTTACCACAGGAACACCAATGTCTCCCTCCCTCCTTCCAGAAATACCCCTAAGTCTCTCCCCTCTCCTCCATCTTCACTATTAGACTTGGATCCAGACCCCTGGCCTCTTTCACCTGGGCTGGCACAGGAGCCTCCAGACTGCTCCCTGTATTTTGTCTCTTTCTCTCATACACATTTTTCATATACTGCCTCAAAATTAATCTTCCTAAGACAAAAACAAAGTCTTAAAAATTTCAGCTCAACTGCATTAGCTATTAGGTCATGCAAAGTAAAATTACAATGAGATATCAGACATACCTATCAGAATGGCTAAAATTAAATTAATAACATCAAATACTGGCAAGAATGCAGAGAAATTGGATGACTCACACATTGCTGGTGGGAATGTAAAATTAAACAGTCACTCTGGAAAAAGAGTATTGACATTTCTGATAAAACTAAACACGCACTTACCATATGACCCAGCAATTACATTCCTGGAATTTACCCAGAGAAATGGAAGGTTTATTCACAAAAAATCCTATACACAAATGTTCAGAGCAGCTTTGTTTATAATAGCTATGAACTAGAAATAACCCACATTTCCTTCAACAGATGAATCGTTAAACTGTAGTCTATCTATAACATGGAAAATACAATTGATACACAACAAATTAGATGGATCTCAAGGGAATAACGCTGAGTGAGAAAATTCAATGTCAAAATGTTACATACTATATAATCCCATTGGTACAGCTTTCTTAAAATGACAAAATTACAGAGATGGAAAATAGATAAGTGGTTGCCAAAGACTGGGGGAGAGGGCAAGGGAGGAGGTTGCGGCTCTACAAGGGGAGCACAAGACATCCTTTTGGTGGAGCTGATTTGTATCTTCACTGTGATGGTGGTCATACAAATCTACTTGTGAGAAAACTGCATAGAACACACACAAATAAGTGCACATGAAACTGGTAAAGTCTTAATAAAGTGGTTGCATGTTATCCATGTCAATCAATATCCTGTAGTGATTTTATACTATAGAATGCAAGAAGTTACCACTGGGAGAAGTCAGATAAAGTATGTATGGGATCTCTCTGTATTATTTTTACAATTGCATATGGATCTACAGTCATCTCCAAATAAAAAAGTTAAGAGAAAAAAACCCTTTCAATAATTTCCAGTAGTTCCCCTATGCCCATAGTAAAAGATTCCTTAGCATGGCATGTAGAACTTTCTCACATACTTCTTGTGCCCTAGACTACTAGCTCTAAGAGCTAACATTTTTGAGCACAGGCTACGTGGTAGGCACCATTCTAAGCATTTTATGTGTATTACCTCATTTAATACTCAAGGCATCTCATGAGTTAGGTTCTACCATTGATACTATTTTAATTCCTAAGCCACTAAGGCACAGATGACTTAACAGCTTGACAGCATCCCCACCTCATCATCCTTCAAAGCCCTGCTCCAATGTACCCCTGTGACTTTTTCCAGTATAAGTGCTGTACTAAATGTCAAGCATTCAAAAGATATTCAATAACTGTTTTAACATAAATTCTGGACAAAAGGACACAGAAACGGTACAGAACCGGGACCTTAAGGATTTGACACTAATTACAGTGAATCTAAAGGTCCATCTAGTCAAGGCTATGGTTTTTCCAGTGGTCATGTATAGATGTGAGAGTTGGACTCTGAAGAAAGCTGAGTGCCGAAGAATTGATGTTTTTGAACTGTGGTGTTGGAGAAGACTCTTGAGAGTCCCTTGGACTGCAAGGAGATCCAACCAGTCTATCCTAAAGGAGATCAGTCCTGGGTGTTCATTGGAAGGACTGATGCTGAAGCTGAAACTCCAATACTTTGGTCAACTCATGTGAAGAGTTGACTCATTGGAAAAGACCCTGATGTTGGGAGGGATTGGGGGCAGGAGAAGAAGGGGACGACAGAGGATGAGATGGCTGGATGGCATCATCAACTCAATGGACATGAGTTTGAGTAAACTCTGGGAGTTTGTGATGCACAGGGAGGCCTGGCGTGCTACGATTCATGGGGTCACAAAGAGTCGGACACAACTGAGCAACTAGACTGAGCTGAACTGAACAGTGAATCTATGTTTCTCCAAAGTTAAGCTTGAAAAGGAAAGCATTGTATCACAGACCGTCGAAAGAGAGAATACCCATCAGTGAGAAAATGTTGATTAATAAGGCAACAGATCTCACATAGCAAAGAGGGACAAGTAAGGTCACGCTAATGAAACTCCAGTGTCATCTGTAGAGCATATCTTGCTCCAATTTTCACAGAACAAATACATGAACACAAACCTCAACTTCCTACCCATTCTTTCTTATTACTTCTGCAATTCAAGAATTTTTCCCCAGACGAAGATGTTTCTTCCAGATTAAAATGCATATTCATTATTCCCCTTGGAGGAAATTATTCACTAAAGACTCCTTTACACTCATAGGTTTTCTTGAAAATTTCAACTGACTATCCTCCACCAGTCTAAAATTGTTCCAAGTACGCTCTGAAATCTGAATGAGAATCTCCAGTCACCTTTTAAAAGCAGACAACAGAGGCAGAGGGAGGAAACAATTATAAGTACAAGAATGAAGTGTAATGGTTCCTATTCCCACTGCTCCCTGCCCAGCCCTTCCCCTCCCCAACCCTGCATAAACTGTCTTCTCTCAAGCAACACCTTTTCAGGGGAGAACTCAATGGGGAAAAACAGTTGACAGGTTGAGAGCCAACCTCTTCTCTTTCACGAATAACCATAAATTTTCAACAGTGACCTAAAGTCAGTAAAGAAAAAGAAACCTCTTTTCAGTTATGCGTTGTGTGAAGAAAGAAGGTACGGTCTAGCACAGCAAGCGGAGAAGGAGAGGGAATCGGGCCGGGCAACACTGACCGGTTGAGTTCTCTTGTACTTGGAGTCCTCGCGGTCTCGGTGCTGCCCTGAATTGCTGGTTCTTTCCCGCACATTTCTATAACCAGGGCTGGGGATGATGTATTCTTTTCCTATGTCAATGTCCTTCATCTTCTCTGAATGGAGGGCTCACAGACTCTTGGTTCCACTTGAGAATTCCTGGAATTAAAAATGCATCAAGGACAGGTATTTCCTAAATTGCACTTAATAAGTAAAAGTACTTTAAAATAGGGAGAAAGAGACAAAAGCATTAAAGTTTTCTGTCATTATATCTATAAAAATAAATTCTCAAACATTTTTCAAGTACCATTTTCTTTTTCTCAACTAAGTTCAATTGCAATGCATAGAGCATTTAGATAAAGTCTTTAAAAAAAGGTTTTCCAGAAACAATTTAAGTTTGTTCCAAAAAAATTTTACACCTGAATTTTAAAAACAAATTCCCCTTGGATTACGGACAGTGTCCTAAAATTAGCTAGTGGTGATGACTGCACAATTCTGTTAATATACTAACCAAACACCAAGCTCTACACTCAGGTGAATTTCATAGTATACAAATATCTCAACAAAGCTGTTAAAAAAAAACAATAGCAAAAACAAATTTCCCACCCTGTTCTACTAAATCTTATCTAGTATCTACCTGAAACACTGTTCTAAACCCCAGTTAGCCTGATTAACTCTAATCAATACCTGTATCAATTCTGGTTACTTTAGAAAAAGTAAAACACATACATACCCTCTCTAAAACATTTCCTCCACCCTAAGATGGTCAAAGGTTCCCAGATACAAGCTGGGAAAACACTTTTTATAACAGCCTCACTAGAAATTAAAGAATTGTAGCTGTGTTGCCTTTTGAATTCCATAAATTCCTATCTATCACTAAGAATGAAAAGTACAACATTGCGGACATAATTCTGACAGCTACAATTCATTTTTTAAGGTATCAGAAAACAAGAACACTTATAAATCCTCTAAATAAAAAGGACTAAATCTCCACCATAGAGACTTGTTTCCAGCACAAAAGCAAGCTTGACTTCTTAGCTTTCAGAGGTCTGGCTCCAGTACCCTGAGTTGATATTGCTAAACTACTTATCTTTCAAAGAAAAAAGTCACCTTGTCCAATGACAAACTGCACCATAAAGAACACCGGCTTACAACCAAGAGCGCAGCAATCACGTCACTGAGACCTCATTAAGCCTAAACTATAAACAGACCTGGCATCTGCCAGTGTCCCCAGTGTCAGGATGCAGCTGCAGATCAGAATAATCCTGCTTGTTACAGGCATCACTGAAGTCCAACCCTCCCCGCCAAAGTTTCCTCAACCTAGCCAATTATCTGGAAAGCAGAAAAGATCAGTCCTGCTTTGAAAAAAGGCAAGAGGAGGGGAGCAAGTTTGAAAGGAAGGAGGCCATAGAAACTCCTAAGAATGCCAAATGCCACGTCAGGAAGACCACAAGGATCACTTCAATTGCCTAAGAATTCACTTCTTTCGATCACTTTGTTCCAGGTTATTCTAGGTTGGAAAGGTGTGGGGAGCAATTTTCCCTTCCCTCTAACACTCCAACTTCTTTAATTTCCTGGGCCAAGAGGTTGAGCAATGAAAGTAGGCAGGCCTTGTGCAGGGACAAAGCTACTATCTCCTGGCCTTGAACATAAGGAGGATTCCATCTTCTGTGTATCAGGAAGGCTAGCCAACAGCTAGGAAGTCCAATAGATCTGAGAAACAACAAGGCCCAAATCTGAAGAAAACAATTAAGGAAAGATCACTAGGCCAGAGTTTGGGGGTGGAAGGGAGAGTGCTATTTGTATTTCCCTCTTGTCTTCTATCTGTTCTCCCTAAAAGTTATTTAAAAGTCTTTTCTAAGAGAGAACAAAGGGAAGGGATATTCATTTATTTCTGAGTCAGAGCTGTACAATGACACTTAGCAGAATAATCAAAGCGAGAGAGCCCATCGAGTTGCTCCACACAGAGGTCTCTTGGTCAGCAACTTTTTTTTAACCAAGACTCCCCTTCAGTGCTAAGTGTAGACCTACTCCTGCACAATGATGCAGTCAAAACTGCCTGGGGGGAGGAGCTTGCATAGGATTACAAGGACTGGAAGTAGCCAGATTGGTGTTCCCAAACTGCCTTCATTGCAATATTCCTTAGGTTTCCAACACCTCAGGAATGTGGTTCCAGGCCCTGCAGTCACACAAAAATACCTGAAGCTACAAGGGTATGTACTTACCACCTCCCTGAAATCTACTTCTTGTCTCCAGCCTACCGCACCTTTCACTGACTCACCCTGGAGACTCCAGAATGACCTATCCATCTTCTCCTTCAAAACCTTCTGAAACTTTGCCAGTCCTTTCTGTGTCCACTGCCTCCTGCCTCCCCCATGTCTGTGCAGAAACCGAATGACCCCTATGTGATAAATACAAAGCCCCAACGCAGCTCTCCTCGGTGGAAACAGAAAGGGCACTAATGACTGTCAAGAGATCTGGATTCCATTCCGGACTCTGCCAAGGGTTTCCTGTGCGTGCTTCTGTCACGAACCTCCATCTACCCAGTGGCCAAAACGAGACGATGGCTTCTGAGGTCGCTGGCTGTTCAGTCCTTTTTGTGCGGCTTAAGCGGGGGTGCCCCAAACCGCCTCTCTACAACCTTGAAGAGAGGGGCTTCTCTCAGGCCAGCATCCCCTAGGATGCCCTGGCCTTAGGGCGTTCCCACGGCCAATTCTGGCCTGGAAAGGCGATAGCGACCCACACCCACGGGCCGCGGGCGTAGCACCACCTGGTGGCGTTAGTCGGGAATGTAGCCGGCACCCCGATCACTCATCCCACCCTACCTGCCTTCCGAAGACCTCACCGCCAACCCTCCCGGTCTCGTCCCGAAAATGAGGCGGCGGGAGCCTAGAGGAAGGCCAGGCCGCTTTTCTCAGTTCTCCGACTTCTCGCGGACAGCTCGCATCCTCGATCGCAGCCCCCCACCCTGGGCCGAAACACACTGGGTGGGGACGGCCCCCGCGACCACACGAGGGAGAAGGAAGGGGTGCGGCAGTCACCGACACCTACCTGTACCCCAGCTCCAGGACGGCCGCGCCGGCCACTCAACCACGCTCCGGAGCATTAGCCCCCGGAGCAAAACAAGCCTTTATAGCGGCATTGGCAGCCAGAATGCGCAGGCGTGCTGCACAAAGAATTTCCAAGACTGAAGGGAATTGTAGTCCCGCTTCCTGGAGCCCCAGGCTGCTTTCGCAGCTAAGAACTATATTTCCCAGAAGCACTGTAGAAGCCCTGGAGGAGGTGCAGGCCGCTCCTCCCTTCCATTGCGCTCCAGGCTCTGCACCATCCTCCCCAGAGCTTCTGCGATCCTGTCTGGAATCTTCTCCAAGGCCCTGTGTTCCAGTGAGTGGTCGGGAGGGTTGACAGGAGCCCTCTGTGGGCTGGCTGCCCAGTGTTTGTAGGCAGGGCGGTCACGGCGATGCTTGGCCGTTAATGCACCGGAAAGCACTGTGAAGGTCATCGTAGCCTATAGGAGACCAGCCGGCCCCTAATCTTATTTGTGTGGCCCTTAACGTTTTACCACTGCGTGCTCACGATTCTGCGCTATCACCTTTCTCACTTTAATTCCACTATCCATCACATGTTGTTGTGCTGCCCACGTTCTGGAAAATAAACGCCAGGATGACAGTTTCAGAGTAGCAAGAGCTGTATAAACTACATGCCAATTCATCCCTTTCTTTTTATAAATCAAACTGAGGTTTCCAAATAGATCGATCACTTCATTTCTCTTTGTGTTTCATTTGTACCTTCAAGATGATCATAACATAAATAACTAGTGTTTAGTGCCTACCTAGTCAGTAACTTGTGCTTTACATACTTGTTTTTTAAATCTCCGTGTCAACCCAATGTATAGGTATTATGATTATCCATTTCAAAGATTTTCTTTTAAATGGAAGGTAAAATGATTCCTCTATCTTTATACCTTTAGCTAGTATGAAACACCAATGTAGGGAATTCCCCGGCTGTCCAGTTGTTAGGATGCCCCACTTTGACTGACAAGGTCACAACGCAGCTTCAATCCCTGGTGGGGGAACTAAGAACTGAGATCCCAAGTGACTTGAACCACAGCAAAAAAACAAACAAAATGCACACCAATGTACAATAAAGCTGAAGTAATTAATACAGTGTTTTGCCCAAGAATGGATTAATAAACCAATGCAATAAAAAGCCTAGAAATAGACTCATGCATACATGTAAACCTGATCTGTAACAAAGAAAACATTACAAATCAGTAGAGAAAGAAAGAAAAGACTACGGATAATGCTGTAACAATCGGTTATCCATATTTCTTAGAACTCAGGGGTTATAGCTTCATACCACATAGATCAAAGGCCCAACTGAAAGGGAAAACCTTCAAACATTTAGAAGAAAATGTGAAATATCCTTGTGAATTTCTTAAATAAGATACAAAAACAAATTAATAAAATAAACTTTCATTAATTTTTTATCATATTAAAATTTCAGCTTCTATATCAGATGCCATAAAGCAAAAAGATAAACTACAAGTTATAACTGACAAAGTTTTTAATACAAATAATTCCTACAACTCAATAAGAAATGCTAAATAACTGAATAGAAAAATTGGCAAATGATGTGAATAGACAGTTCATGGACAAGGAAACTCAAGCAGTCACTCAAATATGAAAAGAGACCCAGGGAGATAACTCAAGGTGGTGGAGTAGGAGGACTTGAGCTCACCTGTCTTATGTAAACACCAAAATTACAACCAACTGCTGAATGACCATTAACAATAAAACACTGGAACCTACCAAAAAAGATACCCTACTTCCAAAGGCAAAGAAGAAACCACAAAGAGATGGTAGGAGGGGCAAAATCACAATAAAATAAAATCCCATACCTCCTGGGTGGGCAACCCACAAATTGGAAAACAATTATACCACAGAAGTTTTGCCACAGGAGTGAGAGTTCTGAGCCCCACCGTAGTCTTCCCAGCCAGAGGGTCTGACAACAGGAGGAGGAGCCCCCAGAGAATCTGGCTTTGAAGAACATCAGGGTTTGATTGCAGGAATTCCACAGCACTGGGGAATACAGAAACTTCACCCTTGGAG